CCTCCGATACAACGAGAAAGGGGAAAGCTTGAATGCAGGCCCGGTGGAGATGAGGTGTATTGTCGGGGCAAAACTCTGATCGAACCTGTTTCCAGACGGAGGTCGCCAGGTGGCCGACTATTCGGGTGGCCTTGACTTCCTGGACAAGCTGCTTCAACGGGTGCCACCCGGCTGAGTAGGCATCCCCCACCAAGTTGCAACAAGTTCCGAACCTTTGAACGATTTGATCTTGAGTTGCGTAGGCCAAATGTAGATTTAGCCTGATGTGGCTCTAATGAAGGTTTTCCGAGATGAACATTCGAGACCCGCAAGCCCGGATCTTCATGAACTTCTACACGGACGGAAAGGACAAGGCTCGCCGGTAGCTGGGCCCCCAACCTACACAAGTAGGGCTCGGGGTGCTTCTTGTGGTGCCAGGGGCCCAGGAACCTCTCTTTGAACACGGAAGGGTCCCCCAAATGCAGGCTTCACCGGACGATCGCGACGAGGGCAAAAAGCGGTTAAAGTGCGGTAGCAACTGGGGCAGGGCCTGAAGAAACCAGTACGCCAGTACTAACTGGCCTGGCATAGTCGTAATGTTGCCCGATGTGGACCGGCTTGACACTGCCCGTGTTCGCGGACGAGGCCTCGTGTTGTTGACCCACTGGCCCGTCGATCTTGATTTGCCAGGTTTCTCAGCATCGCCACGACTTCTGGACCTGCCTGTGTCCTGGCATGTCTAGTCTGTGCGCGGCATATCACGTATGCAGATGGTCGACATGAGTATGAACAAAGCCAGGTTGTCCTTTGGCTCGCCACGCATTCTCACAGTGGACGGCCGGCCCATCCTTATGCGGGATGGGGACCTGATCGTGTTTGGCACGCAAAATCATGGCGTCCCTGTCATGCCCAGGCCTTAGACATGAGCGGGTGTCCATCGCAGACTTGTGCCAAGTTACCGCTGTTGCTTCAAGGCCAGACATTTCGGGGGGCCGCGTGTCCTTGGTGATCTTCTTCTACCCAGATGCGGATAATTTGGAGCGCCAGTGGCAGACGATTACCGAAGAAGACGACGAGGGCAAGTCCACCGTAACCGATGCTTCAGCCCTACCGTGTCTGCCGTCGATGTCAATGTTGATTGTAGCAGTTGCTGTTTGCAGCATTCAAGCCTGACGGTGGAATTGCCGGTTCTTCATCTTCCTTGTAAAATCCGCTTCGGGAGCGCCCCAATCTTGCTTCGGAGAGCTTTCAACACTCCATTGTTGGTCCTGAAACACTGAAACAGCGCCACGGCAACCATGACACCCACGGCCAAAATGCACGGCCAAGCTGCCATGAGCCATGCTTCCCTGCAAGTACACTAACCAATTCTAAAGCTCTTTGCACGAGTAAGTGTGCCACACTTGTTTGACCACTTTCGCTTGACAGGAAAGTGCACTCGAAACTTGCAAAGATCGGTGTGCAGAAAAAACCGCAGGACTAATCCGTTTCCGATTGTGTCTCCGTCGCCCTTGAAAGCATGCGAAGAAGGGTTGTGTGTGTGTGTGTGTGAGGCCCGAAACATCAGTGTTGGCATCGACAAGCACTTCAACCCCACCTTGCTGTGGGGCGGCGGAAAGACAGAGACGACACTGGGGCAGCATTGGTTCAGTCACCAAGCCGAGCTAAATCCGCCTGGATGCCAAAAATGAAGTGCAAAATGTAGTAGCAGCAACAGTCCCAGCAGCAGCAGCAACAGCAGTAGTGGCAGCAGTAGTAAGTAAGTAGTAGTGGTTGTACTGGTAAATACTGGAAGCAATGACGATGTTGAGACGAACCAAGCGTAGTGGCAGTCGTATCCTGCTTGCTAGTATAACTCGTGCCAGTATGGATATGATACACTGATGACCTTCGCAATAAGGCACGCTGCAGATGGCTGCGGGCATATTCCGGCCGAGTCGGCTTTGCAGCAGGCCCTGGACCCCACAGCCACGAAGAGGCCAAAGGGAGATAGCTCGACAATAGACAAGAGAGACGGAGATGACATAGACTCATATACCAACAGGAGAAGAAGGAAGGAAGACAGAAAGGAGAACCAGAGCGAACTCAGAGAGAAGAAAGTAGAGAAGACGAAAAATGCATTGTGTTCGTGCCTTGTGCAGCCACCACCTGGTTTAGGCAAGGACGTAACTAATTGTCAAGTTCAAGTACTTGTAGCAACTTTCCATCTTCAGCCATCCTCAGGGAGCTGCTCAAGAGCCCGAACTCCAACATGCAGTTCGACGGTGACCCCTTCACTGCTGTTTGCTTTCGCTGGCACGCGGGGTTGGAGCACACGGATCGTGGCTGTGTCGAAGGTACTCAATCGAAGCCAGCAGCTGCTGAAATCATCATCTACTCCATCGCGACCGGCGGCCAGGCGGCCAGGGGTTCGGGGGGAGTGCACTGCGACGGGGGCCCCTCGTCCTTTCAGCGTATCTCGGTGCCTCCTTGCCACGTGGGGCTTCTTCTGCACGCTGGGGCCTCTGAAGAGGTCGGCTAT